CATATATATAATAATAAAACAACACACACACACACACACACACACACACACACATAAATTACAAAACAAGAGAACACTCTAAACCCTCAGCACAGGAATATTGGGTACTTTTTATATACAGGCAAGTAGAAACAAAACCAAATGATAGAAGAATTAGCATGTGGTTTTTCTTTTGTCAAAGTATGGATCTAGTAACTCTTCCTGTTTCTGTTTTATTTCATTTCTAGTGGAACTGGAGCACAGGATTGACTTTGAGCTCAGGGAAGGTCTTGTGGAGAGCAGATACTGGTCTGCAGTAACATCGCACACTGCATATTGGTCATCTATGGATATTGCTCTCTTTCTTCTTACCTTCATGTATAAACAGGACCAAGAAGATGCTGACAAATCAAATTTAGACCCTGTTTGAATTTTTTGGGGTTTTTTTTATTTTTTTTATTTTGAGGAGGGTGGGAATTTTACAACAAATGGCACAAAACTGATATTTTACTGTTAAAACGTAGTGTCTAAGGCATGGAAGTTTCAGGTTTAAATGCATGTTTGGATTTTTTCCTGTTTTTAAAGAGCAAAATGATTTGCATTTAAAAACATTTAGTTTTAAATATTTGCAGAAAATTATTCCAAATTCTCATGATTTTGATTGTATAAACAAGCCAGAACATGTAGCATCACATAAGCACTGTGCTTGGGTGACATGTGTTAATGACCATAATTACTGTTTAGTTCGTTAAAATATAAAGATTAGTCAACTGAAACTAAATTAACTTTAATTAACAAAACATATGTTAGATGCAAACCTAAAACTGCCATGTTCCTATGTTTTATGTACCAGTAAATAATAAACATTGGTGTCATTTTTCTAAGACTTTATTGAAATCTACAGGATATTACCCACAGTTCCATTGAAAGACCATTCCTACTGCTGACTTCAAGGGTGTATTACACATAACTTGTTTAGAAACTGCTGAAAAAGCATGAAACAAATATTTGAAATACTGTAATTATAATTTATTATTACCTCTGACTAATTGCTTCATTTATTCCAGTGTACAAAACATTACTTTTTTACTGGTTTCTTTTGGCTTAATTTAAGAACCACATTTATTTTCTACAGTGTTAAGATTTTTTCTCAGATATACATATCTTTGTACTATTCAAATGAATATATGGACACTGTGGCACACTTTCAGTATTTTTTTCATTAAAAATAAATCTTTGTGGTTTCACACAAATGACACTAGTTACATTCTTCTCAGAGGTAAGTAACCTCTTTCATAGGCCCCTGCCTTTTTGGTCACATGTCTCACAAATGACTGAAGGCTTATTTTGGACCTCTCATTAGACTTAATTTGCAGTAGCGAAGTGTATTCCATTTACTGCTACTGAAAATATGTGCAATAATGTATTGAGAAGAAAGAGTGCAACTTGAAATGAATTTGGTGAGCTCAGAAGCATTTGCATAATTGATATCAGAAGCAAACAGTGTGATACTTTTTATTAAAAGCCAAACAAAAGAGTTCTGCCAGTGTTTCATTTTATGAAAATCAGACCCCATCATGTGATTTCAGTAAAAGGATTGCAGTTGTAGCTGGATCAAATTCCCAAGGAGCCAGGAGAGGACTGTTATGAAGAAAGGAAATCTTCAAATTAATCACTTAGTCAATTCTGGGATCATAAAACAGAATTTTAAGGCTCTGGAGCAGAAGTGTCAAATATATGACCTGTGTGCTGGACCCAGATGATGTGTTCATGTGACCTACGTTGCATTTTTTTTTTTAAAAAGGTCCTTGGTGGTTGCGAACAGATGCAAACCCAGTGTAAACAAATGCAGTAATGTCTTCCTGAGGCTGGAGACGGCCTGAAGAGGTAGATGTGGTATATCTTGACTTTAGTAAGGCTTTTGATACTGTCTCATATGACCTTCTCATAAACAAACTAGAGAAATACAACCTAGATGGAGCTACTATAGATGAGTGCATAACTGGTTGGAAAACCATTCCCAGAGAGTAGTTATCAGTGGTTCACAGTCATGCTGGAAGGACAACACCGAGTGGGGTCCCGCAGGGATTAGTTCTGGGTCCGGTTCTATTCAAGATCTTCATCAATGATTTAGATAATGGCATGGAGAGTACACTTATAAAGTTTGTGGACGATATCAAGCTGGAAGAGGTTGGAAGTGTGTTGGAGAATAGGATTAAAATTTAAAATGATCTAGACAAACTGGAGAAATGGTCTGAAGTAAATAGGATGAAATTCTATCAGGGCAACTGCAAAGTACTCCACTTAGGAAGGAACAGCCAGTTGTACACATACAAAATGGGAAATGACTGCCTGGGAAGGAGTACTGCAGAAAGGGATCTGGGGGTCATAGTAGATCATAAGCTAAATATGAGTCAACAGTATAACTATTGCCAAAAAAAAAGCAAATATTATTCTGGGATGTATTAGTAGGATTAGTTTAAGTAAGACACGAGAAGTCATTCTTCCGCTCTACTCTGCACTGATTAGGCCTCAACTGGAGTATTGTGTCCAGTTCTGGGTGCCACGTTTCAGGAAAGATGTGGACAAACTGGAGAAAGTCCAGAGAAGAACCAAAAAAAATGATTAAAGGTCTAGAAAACATGACCTATGAGGGATGATTGAAAAAATTAGGTTTGTTTAGTGCGGAGAAAAGACTAAGAGGGGGCATGATAAGTTTTCAAGTACATAAAAGGCTGTTACAAGGAGGGGGATGAAAAATTATTCTCCTTAACCTCTGAGGATAGGACAAGAAGCAATGGGCTTAAATTGCATCAAGGACAGTTTAGGTTGGACATTAGGAAAAACCTCCCTGACAGGAAGCTTTTGCCTGGAATAAATTGCCTGGGGAGGTTGTGGAATCTCCATCATTGGAGATTTTTAATAGCAGGTTAGACAAACACCCGTCAGGGATGGTTTTAATACTTAGTCCTGCCATGAGAGCAGGGGACTGGACTAGATGATCTGTCAAGGTCCCTTCTAGTCCTTTGATTCTATGAAACGACATCTGAGAGATGTGCAGCCCTTGGGGTGTTAAATCTGAAGACACTTTAGTGTGAGCATTAGCTATTTAATTGCTTATATTATTGGTGGGAATTTGGAAAGGAAGGCCATAGATTGAGACTAAGAATTTGGTAATAGAAGAAAGGAGAAGAGACACAAAGACAGAAAAGATGGTGAAAATGGAGGATGGGGAAGGAAGAGATAAGGCAGAAATAGAAAAGTCCTAAAGGAGGCGTATTCTCCCATTGATATCAAGGCTTTTGTAGGTTCTCATTTATCTCAGTGAATTGAGGATGTTTTATAATCCTAAATTTGTAACCTGGCCCATGGACCATAATTAAAAATGGAATTATGCTCTCAAAGGCATTTGTCCCTGGCATCATTGTTCTGGAAGAACATGTCTTCAAGTAGTGTCCTCATGGGTACTCCATGTCCAGATGTGTCCACATGGCTTTGGTCAGATATTTGGTAGCAGTGCCTTTTCAGCCCATGCATGCGCTCCAGACATCCTCATGCCCCACACCGAGGATACGTAGAGCTGCGCAGGCAAACCGCCCTCAGTTCCATCTCAGCTGCTTTGGCCTGAGATGGAGTGTCTAGCATACCTACTTCTAACTTAACCTTTAGCTTAGCCTTAGGTTTCTCTAGTATTCGTTTCTTGTAGTTATTTAGAATTTCCTCTTTTATGTATAGTTTTATAGTTCCTGTATTTCATTCGATGGTTTTTCTTTCTCCTTTCCCCCTTTGTCTGGGGTGGTCCTTGGGGCTCATTGCTATCATTGCTGGGGTATGCCAGGATCTCTGAGATTCAAGCGCTGCCTCACCTGCTGGAAATGTGTGCGCACACCCACGTGCACAGTCGGAGATTTTTGCCTTAGCGGTATCCGTAGGGTCGGCTGTGGTGCCATCTGGAGTGCTGTGCTCATGCATTGATATAAGTTCCTTCTTACTGCCCATAGCAATTGGTCAGAGCACCTATTTCCCTTGCCTAGCAACTGGTTAGCGGTTCTCTCCTTTCTTTGAGTTTTAAGTGTCTTGTAAATAGTTTGTTTACAGTATTTAGTAAGTAGTGTAGTTAGTAAGTTATTGTCCTGGGAGGGACTTTGGGGCATGCTGCGCCTGAGACAGTCTGCAGGTTTTAAGCCCTGTTCTGACTGTAACAGGCCTGTGCCTGTTAGTGACCCCCATAGCAGCTGCCTGAAGTGCTTGGGGGAATCACATTTGAAGGACAAGTGTCACATCAGGCCCTGCTCCAAAGGATGGCCACAAATTTAGGTCTGGAGGTGGAGGAGATGACTGAGCAATCAGACACCTTGTTTAATGTGCTCTCAACATCAACACCTGCACGTGTCGTGCTACCAGTGCACGATGGGGTCTTAAAAATAGCCAAAACTCTCTGGCAAACCTAGTCTTCCAGCCCACCCACCTCCCAAGATGGCCGAAAAGAAATATTTCGTCCCAGCTAAGGGGTTCAAATATTTGTATATCCTCCCACCTCTGGAGTTGCTGGTTGTCTCTGAGGCCAATGAGAGACAGACAGGGGCAAACCAATTCTATCCCCAAAAATAAAGAGGCCAAGAGGCTGAACCTTTTTGGAAGAAAAATGTATTCACCGGCCAGCCTTCAGGGTGGCAAATCAGCAGGCTCATTTGGGGAGATATAACTTCAGCTTATGGGACTCCCTCCGTAAGTTCAAGGATTCCCTGCCCCAGGACTCGGCCCAAGAATTCGGGGCCCTAGTTGAAGAGGGTACAACAGTGGCAAGATGCTACCTCCAAATGGCGTGGTACGAGGCCGATTCAGCAGCCAGGGTGGTCACATCGGCAGTGGTCATAAGACACAGTTCCTGGCTTCAAATCGCAGGCCTGTCCCAGGAGATGCAGTCCTCCACCAAGGACCTCCTGTTTGATGGGAATTGCCTGTTTACGGAGCAAACGGATGCGAGGCTGCATGGACTGAAGGACACTCGGGCCACCCTCCACTCGCTGAGTCTGCGTACGGCGCAGTCGGCGAGGAAGCAGTTCTGGCCATCCCTCCGCCAAGGCCTTGGCAGCCGCAGCAGGGATCTGTAAGGAGAAGGGATAGAAACATGAGTTTTAGTCATCGCCACCCTTCCTCCTCCCACTCACCTGCACAACCTGGCCCAGCAAAACATCACGGGCCAGAAGCACTCACTTTGAGGGTGTGCTCAAGAGCGACATCCCAGTCAGCTTCCCAGATCCGCCTCATTCTTTCCTCAACCATCTACATCCCTTCCATTTAGCCTGGTCATGTGTGACCTTAGACCGCTGGGTGCTAGAAATTATCTCTCTGGCTATACCCCCCAATTCTTGGCACCCCCCACCGCTTCCCTGTCCCTCTTCAAGGACCCTTCTCACGAGCAGCTCCTCGTTCAAAAGGTCGAGAACCTCCTGCAGCTGCAGGCAGTGGAGGAGGTTCCTCTGGAAGTGTGAGGAAAAGGGTTCTACTCCCATTATTTCCTAATCCTGAAAGAAAAAGGGCACCTAAGACCCGTCTTGGACTTGCGACGCCTCAACAAATCTCTCAAGATGTTGAAATTTTGCATAGTCTCCCTGGCCTCCATCTTCCAAGGGCACAGACAGTTCCTCCGTTTTGTAATGGGCTGGCACCATTTCCAATTCACAGCACTGCTCTTTGGACTCTCGTCGGCCCTGAGGGTGTTCACAAAATGTATGGCACCAGTGGCCACTTACCTGAGGCGTCGAAGTGTCCAGGTCTGCCTGTATCTTAACAATTGGCTCATCAAGGGCAGGTCGCGGGAACTGGTACCAAAGGAGCCTCAGTCTGATATGTTCCACTTGCCACCACCTGGGCCTGTTGATAAACAAAAAGAAATCAACCTTAAGGCTGGTGCAACAGATAGAGTTCAGAGGGGTGGTCCTCAACTCCAGGTGGGCCAGAATCTTCCTTCCAGAGGCCCGTTTCCAGGCAGTGTCAGCCCTGATTTTCCATGTGAAGGACCACCTGCTCACTATCACTCACATCTGCCTGAAGTTGTTCGGCCACATGGCAGTGTGTATGTACGTGGTCTGTCATGCTCAGCTCCATCTCTGGTCACTGCAAGCGTGATTGGCATCAGTCTACATCCCCAACAGGCACAATCTAGACCGGTAGGGTGTCGGATCATATATGGTCATCCCTGAATTGGTGGTTGGACCCGGGATCGGAGGGAGTTCTGCTTGTGGCCCTG